ATTTATTCCGCTTATCGTTACACAATGTAAATCAGACTGTCCAGAAACATTTCAAAGTAAAGAACTAGCTTTAAGCATGCCGACATGAATTAAAAAAAGGAAAAAAAGCCAATAATATTCTCTTTTTTACTCCCAAAAAATTATAGATGATTGTTTTTTTTTTTTCAAAAAGTTCAAATGAAAAATTTCCCTCTGTCTTTTGTTTTTTTTTCACAACGACACAAAGGAGAGAGAGAGAGAGAGACATGAGAACAACACTATGACGATAATTTGTAGTTGCGAGAGCATGTATATTTCGAGAGTGACCCCCTCAGGGTAACCAAAACCAGCCTCGTCAATTAATTCCTTTCTAGTTCTCGTTATCGAGCAAACAATGATTAATTCTCTCGCGCAAAAATGCCCTGAGTTCAATAGCGCCTGCGGTCACGGTAATTAAATACTGAAGTAGTAATTACATTCCCAATTAGGAAGCCTGAAAAAGGTGTGTGCGAGAGAGAAAATTTCTTATTTAACAATTCGCGCGTGCAATTGAATATAAATAATTAATTAAAATATAAGTTTAATTAATTATTATCGAGAGAGAGAGAGAATTCTAGATAAGAATAAAGAAATTATTTTTAGTATTGAAGCCATTTCATTTATTTCTAGAGCGATTCGATAAAGGGTGATTTTGAGTTCAGATGTGTGTCGTGTGGTCAAACGTCACACGGATGATTTGTCTTAATTAAAAGCGCCATCTGGCAACGCGGGAGTGAGAGATGAATCTTGTTGAGTTGGCATTTGTCAACCGATGACTATTTTGCGAGAATTACTTTAAGTTTCTCTTTTAAATTATGTAATCTACTCATAGATTTTTATTTCCGGAAAATAAAAATTTTAAATTATTATTAAAAACATTTCTTTAGTATTTGAGTAAGTTTCTCACACATTATCTTTTAGTTCTGCCTTCGGATTACTTTTCTATATAGAGAGGAATAACTTCGCTTCTTTGGCTAAGAACTTCCGATGACAAATTTCAACACGTCAGAAAGTCATTTCTCTTTCCTATGAATTACCATTATCATATAGTGAAGCTCAAATGCCTTTACCTTTTTTACCTATATGGGTAACTGGGAAAATAATAATTTTTTTTTTCTCATTTTAAATTTATATAAAAAGTTTGCAAATAACTGCTTTCATTAACGAAGCCTGAAGATAATCATAACTTTTTTTTTTTTTTACTTTATGAAGAAACTTGTTAATTTTCCTATCAAATAATTATAAAATTCAGATTTAAACTTCGTAAGGGATTACCGCTAAGTACACTCTGCTTTGGGGAATTAAGAAAAAATATTGAAAATATATTCATCATCAAATGTCGAAAAGAGGAAAATGTAATATGTTTGAAACTTGAAATATCGAGAGGAGGGAAAAAAGAAAAGAAGTGAAAATTGTTAACAAAGTTTTTAAGCGCACACTTTTGCTTTAAGCTACTTAGAGGAAACTTACGTCATTTCCCCGCACGTATAGAAAACTTACGTCGTGTAATTTATGTTTCCATGTACTTTTTTTTTCTATCAAGTATATATATATATAAGGCAGTAGGTAGCAAGACAAGTTTACTTATTGGATATTGCATGTGCTTATCAAATCAAAGTTTCAAATTTACTTGATAAACTTTATATAAACGACTTTTCGAAACGGGAAATTTTCATATAAAATATTTCCAAGGATAGAATTAAAATAGAATATTTTAATTTCTTTTTTTAGATGAAACATAAAATATTTGTTCAAATAGAAAATTCCCTCTTATATAATACGAAAAGTAAAAAGAAAAAATAAACATATATTACAATTTTGAGAAATTTTTTTGTTTAAAAAACATGATAAATTGTACATAATACGCATAAGAAATGAAATGAAGAAGAAAGGAGAAATTGAGATTTGTGGAATGTAACCTTTCGCTTTACCAGAGAGATGAACGAACTTGTGACACAAACATATAAAGTACATACTGTATATGCGCTTATATGCGCTACGTCAACATAAGTGCACAAATGTATAGTAACAACGTATGTGGATACAAATAACATTGTCCTAACGTATGGGAACATAATTTGACCTTAGTGTCCCTGCGACCATATAGAGAAAGCCGACAAGATTTATAGACTATTAAACGCCATGCTCGGTTAGATTCTCAGTTATCAGTGAAAATTAAAGTTTCCTGAGTATCTCTTTCGCTTTCATTCTAATCGTTACCGAGTCTCGTTTGCAGTAAAATTTTATTTCGTCTACTTTTCAAAATTATTCTTTAATTTAATATATTCAAAAAAAACTATTTATTAAATGCTTCTGGAAATAAAATCTTTTTTTTCACTTTCAAATTCTAATTTTTGCTTGATAAAGAAAATTAAGTTTTTTCCTTTTGCGCATATAGCATACACGTAAAATTGCAATTCAGTTTTATTTCAGAATTCAATTGTGGTATTCTCTCTATATAATGAAGTTAATCGACTATCCAGAGAATTCTCATTTTGAAATACACGAACATGTTGTAGTTAAAATTTACCATTCTAAAAAATACCTAAATTTTTTCATAAACAAAAAAAGCAAAAAATTGGGTTAATTTACTAATTGAAATTTTAATCTAATAATAATTTACTAAAAGTGAAAATCATTGATTTGATTGAAACTAACTTTAAACCTCAAAATGCTTTAAAATATATAAACCATAATGAAATAGATCCAAAAAAACTAAGTTCACAAAAAGTTATCTGAAATCGTACACAAAACAGGAAAAACAATTTACGGCTTTAAAATTATATCCAGGAAGTAGAATTATCAGGCTAAAAGGATAGTTTTTTAAAAAAAGTCTTAAATAGGTATAAGCAAGTGGGTTTTGTACAAATTACCAGAAACCATGCAATCCACACGCGACGTGTAAACATCGCGGTCACTTAATGGCGAAATTATCTCCTTTGAAGACCAACAACGAGAGAGACCTTGGTAGTGAGTATCAAGTATTGGAGAGCACAGTTACCAATTTATAGTGGAAATGTTCCTCAGAGTTCTCTTTGAGTTATAGCTATGTGTATAAAAGCGAGGAAGGCAATGATAATCTACCTGTATTTGCATACACGTGGTGTAACACGTCTTTGCGGTAGGCATGTAATCGTCTTGGGTTCCAGAGCTAGACTTAATCACCGAGCTGAATCCGTTATATATGTATATATACATATATATATATATATTATAATCCAGAGGAAGTAAGAAATAGAGAGGGGAAGAGGAGAAGAAATGCGGTGCAAGTGCACGAGAACTTATTTGAAGAATTTCAACTTTTGCAAGAAATACTGTAAATGCAAATTATAACTTCTTGGGCAAAGTTAGAATTATAGAAAATTTTATTCTAAAACTATAAACTTATATAAAGTGATAAAACTTTTAAGTATTAGAAAATATAACGGATATATATAGTATAATATTTTACAATGCCGTTAAAGACCTTCATTGCAAACAATCCAGTAAATTATCAACATTTCTAATACATATTCAAGTTTTTACTAAATAAATAAAGAGTGATAAAGAGAATTATTATCAAACGATAGGAAATTACAAACTATATAGATAGTTGAATAAATAAAAATAGTTTCGTGAAAATTAAGATAAGAATATGGAAAAAATTACCATACACGTTTAGTAATTAATGTATATATGTTTCCCTTGATTATAATTTATGCTGTTCATTATATTATCAACGTTATTTACATTATCGGCACGTATGAAACAGGATTTCGAATTATTAATTAATTGAACGAATACAACAAAAATTAAAATATAATTTCGTTTTTTTTTATATTTTCTGAAAATATTAATTTTTTATCTATTAATTTTCTACTAAAAGATTTATGAATCTATATGTCAATAATTCGACACGTCTAATGTGGACCATTGGAAATTTGTCGTAAATCTTTAGAGAGAAGTTACAGCATAGAGTTACTAAAATATTGTTCAAACGACTTATAGAAAGTTACTAAGCACTTGCAAAGAGAGCTATACTCAAATATTCTCACACACATATTACTAAAACTCAAATTTTTTTCAAAACTACAAGTTTATAATTAAAATTCAAAATATTATTAAAAAGACTTAAAAAAATGTAATCTATAAAAATATTCAGATATATTTGAAAAATAATTGAATTTTATAATAAAAAAATTAAATACCAGTCCCCATTATAAATATTTTAAAATCCATATATAAAACTGGAATTATTTTAATTTGCATAAAAAACTTGTTTTTAATAGAAGTAGAAAAACTTGCGAAATTTTTTTTTTTTTAAATAAAGAAAAGAAAAATGTTAAATCTTAAGAGAAGCTCTTTAATTAGCATGATGGCCAAGGCAACTAAGACAAAAAGGAAAATAAAAAGGAAGTGTGACCGGTGAGCTATGTGAACACTTGCGTATGCATGAAGTGTGAACGATCTTTTACCACAAATACATACACAAGATAAATAGTGTCGATCCATCTATTACTGGCAAAACCAAAAATAAAGCAAAAAAATAAAAAAAAATAGACTGTAAAATGAAAATAGTTATAAAGAACAATTATTCGTTTTATATTTCATATATGTACGTTAAATGCTATGATGTTACATCAGTAATTTGAAATCCAATTCTACTGGATATTTCCAATATTTTTTTTTTTCTTTTTCCCTATTGTGCTTTTTCTGTAAACTCAACCAGCTGCACTGTGTCACAGTCAATCATATATACTCTTATTTAAAAAATCCCTTTTTTGTTTGAATCATTCAGAAAAAATAAAAAAGAGAATATACAAAATATTTGTATATAAAAATAACGCAAATAAATATAAATAATGTAAATATTATAAATAGATATAGATATAAATAATGAATTCCTATTTACCAATGCTGATAAGAGTGTTAAATTTTTTAAAATGAAATATATTTTACATTCTCTTTTTGCATTAGAATTATAAAGAAAAATATGTACTCACCACTGTGATGGGGTAAACGGGGTTGATAATTGTGAACAAAAGCACGTGATTCGGTTTATTATTGTCCTCCCTAAAAAAAATAAACAAATTCCTTAATAATAAAAATTCTAACGTATTTTTTATTTATAAATAAAAATAAGGTAAATGTTCTCAATTTAATACAAAATCAGTATTTTCTTTTTATTTTTTCATATCACACTAATTTAAAAGTATCAAATTGATACCAAAAATATCAAATTGATATAAAAATTTGTATCAATTTGATATTTTTGGTATCAATTTGATACTTTTAATTTTGTGTGTACTCTAAAAATAGAAATAACATAAAATTTTCAATTGCAAACTTCAATTATAAAAATATTATTTAATCAACTTTTTATTTATTTTAATTTTCAATAAATAGCAAAAGATTGAAAATTACAACTCTGAATGAAAAGCAAAACAAATAAAAATTATTTAATCAATTGAATTTTATCAAAAAATTTTTATAACTTTATTTATACACAAACTAATACTTGACTGATAGAAATTTTACAAAGTGGAACATTTACCTTATTCGCGTGTATATTTCATTGCCTCTATGTAATTTTAACTTTATTTTCCCCATATAACAACTTCTTTATTCAGATTATATGTACATGTTTGCGAGAGTTATACTAATTATTCATTTTTCATGAACGCGCGATATGAAAAGTAAGTTTCAATGTTGTTACTTTTATAATTATACGAGTACATATACTTTTATTGAATGGTACTGAATAAAGTTTTGAAATTAATTATTAAATTACGATATTTGAGATGAAATAGAAAAAAAAATTCTCAATTTTCTTTTGACAAATGTGTAACAAATTAATTATTTAATACAAATGAAAGTTTAAAAAGCAATGTACGACATGGAGGAATAAAAAAACAAACAAATAAATTATAGACCATGAAATTAACCGTTTTGTTAATTATCAAAAACGGTGAGGTCAAATCTCAAGACAAAATTAATTAAACGCGATGCAAAAGCAGTTACCCAAGTTTGTGTGGTGCCACATCTACTTTGGCCAAGTCTAATAATAAGTTAACTCGAGCGTTAAGTGAGATTCAGTGGGACGAATTTACATTCAACAAAAGCCAATATTGTGCATTTATTCTATTCTTATGGAGAGAGTCATTTTTTCTAACAGTTTGAATTTATTATCAAATTATGTAAATTTCTATCAATTCTTCTGAAAACAAAATAATTTTTTTTAGAGTCAAATAAAATTAAAAGAGTAGAGATTTTTTTTTTCAAACTTCCAAAGAGAAAAAAACCATTATCTGCTAGTAAAATAACAATACTATCAAATTCTTTGTTTATAACAACAGAATTATTTAGAAAAATAATTTTTTTCCACAATTGTTAATTTAAAAAAAAAGAAGAAGGGATTAAAGAAGCAAATGTAGCTTGTTATTCGTATATACCAGAGATAGTAAAAAAGCTCGAGATCGATTGTGCAACTCCCTTGTGTAGATGATTCACACATTTACAGAATATATATATGCTTTCGTCGTCGTCTGCGCAAATGCAAAAAGTGTCACGACTCAATAATTTTGTCGACCAAATGTAAATGTGCCATTGTATAAAAAAACATTTAGGTTTTATATATTATATATATATAAAATGTAACGCACGTTTATAAAGCTGGAAAAGTACCAATGTGCGAACACCTGGATTTTAAACGGTCGTTAGTGTCTCGCATAATGTTCTACTCTGTAATAGCTAGAATCGTTATTCCGGATAATTAGTCTCTAAAATACACATTCAATGCGTGTTTATAAATTTTCAAAAAAAAAAAAAATTTCCACTGGTTTTAAATTATTTTTCTTCTCCATGTTGGAATAATTTTCTCGTTTCAAAAATAATAATTTTGTTCCATCTAATTTAACTATAATTTCAACTTTAATTAATTAGCCGTAAATTATTAATTAATTGAACGGTGAATTATAATTATTATTTAGTTTGAAATAAAATCCCCAAAAAAAACAATAATTATTTACTCACCTCTTACGTCGAGGTTCATCTCCATAGCCGCTGTATTCATGATTCTGAAATCAGAAAAATATATAATTAGTATTTATTAATTATTAATAAAAAGGACTAATAAAAATTTATTATACACTGAGAAAAATATGCTATTGAATCAATAGCATTTCTGCCAAAGGTATAAAAATTATTAATTCAAAAGCATATGTTATAGAATCTATAAAATATTTTACAAATTTAATAGCATATGATTTTGAATCAATAATTTTTATACATTTGGCAGAAATGCTGTTGATTCAAGAGCATATTTTTCTCAGTGTATTACAAATAGAAAAATTATGTCATATAGAAAATTTTATCTGATATTATTTTGATATTAAGACTAATTTCGTCAATTTGCCAATCAATAATTTTAATCTATTGTCACGAGAGCATATGGAATAGGAAACATTAATCTCAGAGGAAAACGTGACATTTTAAGACCTCCCTTCGTGCGTTATGCATATGCCAGCCTTTAATTAAGTCCCCGAGGAGCATAACGATGGTCTAATTATTCCGCACATCCATAATCATCATCAATGATTCCTATTATATGTCCGATTCATATATTGTTCACACACACACACATACGATTTCCAATCAAGAATTTTGGCGTTTTCGAACGCCAAAAGCTTCTCTCTCATCGACCCTAAACGTCTTTTGCGAAAGCAATAAACTTGTCATTTGCGTTCTCGTTAAGTTGATCTATTATGCAAGAAAGCAATTTCGAGTTTAAATTTTCTATATACATATAACTATGCGCAGTTCGCAATCTGGAATGGAGAGAGGATATCTTATAAGTGGCCCCCCCTATTAATAGACGCACCCACCTGCTATATATATTATTGTCATTGTTACGAGGATTTTTTATAGCTCAGAGTGTAATAAAAAAAATAAAAATAGCAATTTAAAAAATTAAAACAATCTTTTTATCGAAAAATTTGAAAATCAATGGATTATTTTTGGGGAAATCCAAGTGAATATGTATGTTTTTATTTAAATACGTGTTCATTTATATTACATATATATGTATATGTATTAAACACTCACGCGATGGTTCAATCTACTAAAATATTTACGGCGACCGACATTGTGGAGCCAAATATCCATTTCGCGTTCTATATTCTGCGTATCGAGAATCTATACTAAAATTCCCGAGAGATTCTAAATGAAACTAATATTAACTTCAACTCAATTTCCATAGTTCAAGGTTAACGCACTAAAAAATGTCATAAAATTGCAAATTTTGTATTTAAAAAATTTACAAAAATATAATAAATATTAAACGTTAGTTAATTAATTATTAAACTAAAAAAAAAAATTGTAATCTGTGTTAATTAAACAAAAAAACATTAATTTCTTTCTTCCCTTCTTTTAATAATTGACTCTCTCGTGAAAGTATTTTAGACGCTCTAATGATGTGTCACAAACACAAGACAAAATTGTTAGACTAAAACCGGAAGCAGACTGCAGCAGTTATGTAATTTTCAAAAGTGGAGGAAAAACATACTGACATCTTCTTTCATCAAAAAATAAATAAGCCCTCCTTTGTGTCTCGGAAGAAAACTCTTTTTCGTCACACGAATATTATACTGATTTTAAACTAAAAATATATAAGTTAATACTTTTTTTTGCCCCCTCCCAACAAAAATAGATTAAATATCACAAATTCTTTCAGGAAGAAAAAAAAACAGTTTTTTTAAATAGAAGTAATTATTTCTATACACGGAAAAAAAGAAAAATGTAATTTTTACTACTTTCGGAGTAAAACGGGAACTGTCCGAATTTTCAGCTTATCTCTGGCAAGTTTAATTCCAAAAATAGTAAAATTGACAATTTTTGTAGTAAATTTTACTGTTTCCGTAGTAATTTTTACTATTTTTGGAGTAAATTTTACTATTTTTATAGAGTAAAAGTTGCCAGAGATGCGCAGAAACTTCGAACAGTTTTCATTTTACTCCGAAAGTAGTAAAAATTACACGGAAAAAAGGAAAAAGTGTTTTTTACTACTTTCGGAATAAAAAGGGAAATGTCCGAAGTTTCTGCACATTTCTGGCAAATTTTACTCCAAAAATATAGTAAAATTTACTCCAAAAATAGTAAAAATTACTACGGAAACAGTAAAATTTACTATAAAAATTGTCAATTTTACTATTTTTGTAGTAAAAGTTGCCAGAAATGTGCAGAAACTTCGGACAGTTCCCGTTTTACTCCGAAAGTAGTAAAAATTACTTTTTCTTTTTTTCCGTGTAATTTTTACTACTTTCGGAGTAAAATGAGAACTGTTCGAAGTTTCTGCGCATCTCTGACAACTTTTACTCCAAAAATATAGTAAAATTTACTCCAAAAATAGTAAAAAAATTACTACGAAAACAGTAAAATTTACTACAAAAATTGTCAATTTTACTATTTTTGTAGTAAAAGTTGCCAGAAATCTGCAGAAACTTCGGACAGTTCCCTTTTTATTCCGAAAGTAATAAAAATTACTTTTTTTTCTGTGTATGAGAAAACATCTTCATTGAAGATAAATAAAAAAAAATAAAAAATAGCTAACCCATTGATTTTGTAAACGACCTCTCACATCAGCCATTAACTTTCCAGACTCGCTTTTCTTGATAAACAAAACTTTATTCCACCACCTCAAAGGCCAAATGCACATACACTTCAATATTAGAGAAAGGGAGAATTTCCGTGGAAAGAGCAGTAAAATCTAAAAATAGAACATAAAGTTACGGACCAGTGACCCTGACTCTGAGTTCATTCATCAGTCTTTCATCCTCGAAAGCGCAAGGAATGATTGAGCTCTATACTCTTTTGCTTTAAGATACACCAAAAATCCATGGAATATAAAACGTAAATGAAAGAAATCTGAATTAAAAGCACAATTTTAAGAAAACATTTCAATTCCCTTCTCATGGAAAGTATAAACAGAAAGAAATTGAAAGAGATTGATTTCTTTTTTTGCTCAAAAGTAAGAGAACTCTTTTAAAGGAATTTGTGAATTCGCGTTCCAAAGATTTGCGTCTCATATATATAGACAAACACGTAAGGCTTCATATATACAGAAGGCGGGGGGGGGGGGGATGTATATAGCTGTTACGAAGCGTGGCAAATCCCTCGTGGAATATATATGCAGTTATAAACATAACTCGGCCACTTTTCCAGTTGGCTGTTCGCCAACCACGTGGCTTCACGCTCAATGGGTTTACACCCGCCTTGGATATAAAAAAAATATCGTCAAGTATTGCGTGTGTGCGACAAAGCAGACAGGTTGAATTATATACGCACTTCGTGGAAAAACAGTTTTCAATCTCTGTGCTCGCAAAAAAAAAAAATATATTTAAAACTCATTGTAAAAAAAAAGTCGATTTTTGAAATATATAATATACAGAAAAGACATTAATTAATTATCCTAATTAATAGTGAGATACTAATATTTGTGTGTACAATATTATTAGTATGCCATTTTCATAATGCTGTGTACTTTACTTTGATCCTTCAATTAATTACAAACACTATAAGCCTTCTGTTTTCTCGGTTAAAGAAATATCAAGTGGGTTCTTGTTTTAAAAGCTTGAGGAAATGAATTTCACAATATTAAATTATCTCTCAATTATATCAAAAATTGTGATGAAAATTTTATGATTTATATATATATTTTTTTGAGGTAATAAAGTTGAAATTTAATAATTAATCAATTAAAATTTTCATTCAAATAATTGGTTCTCTATCAAATAAATATTTACTTGAACCAAATAATTTTTATTTGAAATAAATACTATTTAATTAGCTCAAATAATTATTTGATAACTAATCGATTATTTGAATGAAATAAATTTTTTTTTGCATAAAAATAAAGGAGAATGTAACTAGTAATTTAAAAATGTTTAAAATACAATGGATTTAAAAACTAATGGTTTGTGTTATTAGAGTTTTATTTGTTAAGAAAAATAATGCTATGTATTTAGAAAACTCGTTAAAAATTTATGTTAATAAAAAACATATTCCAAGTAAACCAATATTTAACCATTTTAAGTATTTACTAAAATTTCTAAACAATGAAAACGTTTTTAAAATTTAAAAAAAAAATGTTTAAAAGAAAATATGAACGATATTATTTTTAATTAAAAAATATTTTTCCAAGTATATGGGGTTTGTTGAAAAAAGGGGAGGATTTGTACATTTTACAACAGGAATCGATCAGATGGACTTAACTTTTAACAACGATTTATACCACTATGGGGATAGAGAGAAATTAAACTGTTTTTCTTGAAGGGAATATATATGTATAGAAAACATGCTACGCTCGTGCGGAGATTGTATAGAAAGTCAGTTGGCATTCAGCCAACCATGTGCTGATAAAGAGATTAGGGATGAAAACAATGTTTACATTTTATTGCCTCTTTGGTCGGGAGAGCTTTTCAACTATATATATATATATATTTTATACAACATTATACACACTATAACTGACTTCCGACTCTCTCCTCGACATTTTCAGAAACACACTGTATATATATGCTGATTATATGAAGTGCTAGAGAAATCCAAAGGAAAATGTCTTTCTGCGCCATATAACGTACTCAGAAAAAGTAATAACTGAATCTTAAGGGATAAAATCAAAATAGTTTCAACAAATGTCAGCACTGACATTAAAATAAAAGTCACATTATGTTTCTTTTTAAAAAGAGAGAAATTTTCCCATCGAAATATTTGACCTAATTTTAATATTTTTTCTTTGGAACAAATTAAAAATTATAATTAGGAAAGACTAACCTCAAAATAAAATAGGTTCTCAAAAAAAAATTCAAAGTAATTTTCACAGAAGTTTTTTTCATTTATCAATTTTTCCCTTATAATATGACAGCTGTGTGGCTTTTTGAGATGGTGCAAAAAAAAAAGTTTGAAACTTCTTTATAAATAGTAGTTCAAATGTGACAAATGCAGAAGAGAATACAAAATTTTCGTCAAAAACAAAATCATGTATAAATAATTTATATCCGAACAAGATAATTGCAAAGTT